TCAAACTGCTCTTTCTTGATTATTAATTTTTAAACTCTGCAGGTGGCATCTCAGGACAGTATTGCTGTCTTTTTTCTTGCTTCCAGTTTCATAAGTTCAAGAACTTGGCTCCTGATGTCCATCTAGATCCTTACCTCATTCCTCATTATTCACATCTCATATTCCTCTGAAAGAGACTGTATTTGAAACTGAGAACAGGAGACACTTCTTTACACAAAGGGTTGTCTGGAAGTCTGGAAGGAGCTGCCTAGCCATGTTGTCAAAATTGATGCCATTACTCGTTCCTAGAGGTGGCTGGTTGAAATGCTCAGATTCATTAGATTGCACACCTAAATGAACTATGTGGGCCAGATTGCCTCTTTCCATTTGCAAACTTTTTATGTGTTTAATATTTGGGTTGAATTCTTTCACACAAAAAAAATTCCCTTCTCTTGTTGATCTAAGGCACTTGGTTACTCAAAGTATAATTCTATTGTAAGAATAAAATTACCAATATTATAATACATACTGTATATTTAGATTGGTTTAAATGTTTACATTAGTGGATTTTAATAATAAAATGCAGACTTCTCTGCTTCTAGCTGTTTAACAAATTGGAGCTGAGTCAGACCATAATCTTGATGGTTTCATCTAAATTGCTTAGTGATTTCGACCAAACCGTCAGAGTTTCAAAAGGTATTGCTATATGTTAAGATTCAAGAATCCCTCTTTTTTCTAATTTCAGATTCCCAATTCTCTCCGGAAAATTTGATTCTTGTAGACCTGTTGTTGTTGGAAATAGTGTGCATACCAAAGTCCTCTATAGTGCCAAAGAGCATTTCTAATGAAATCCTAGTGAAAAAAATAAATCTGAATATTATATAAAATATATTATGTAAAGTGGCCTGAAATACTAAACAAAGTAGAAGACACTTTCAAAAAATGATGTAACTGACATATTACAAAGCTCATCCTGGTGTCTGAATCACGGGGCACAGTCCTGACATTTTGAAGTGAGTTGACCTGTACAGTATGTCTTTATGTCTGCAGAGATCCTAAACAGGTATTTACAGTGTCTCAGAATTCATTGTGGTCATTCATGCCAACTTATTTAGAAATATGGGTAGGCATGCGTAGGCTGCAAAGGATGGTAAAGGTTTATTCAATTCTGAAAGGAAAATAAACATAACGTTTTGGCCCTGAAGCCTTCTTCAGGAGTTACCTTTCAGCATTGAATAAACCTTTACCTGCTCCTTATTAAGCAATACAGTGTGCATTACAGAGTACGCATGAGAGAGATTTGCCATTTTCATGATTCTATATAAAACCCAGGGAATTAAATGGCAGATAAAACTGAAATAAATGGCTAAAAAACTAAACTAGGCATACACTCATGGTTTTACACAAGGTGACTAAAAATTAGACACTTATCTGGTGATGACAGCTTTTTACATAGTATTTTTACTGGGGAGTGTGCACTCCAGAGCTTGTTCATCAAAATATCAGAATGTGGATTTGCCACTGTAACAAGAGAAAATGCAATGATGCATTTGTTTTAAACCTATCTGGAACAAAGACACTCTGAGTACTCGACAGAATACCACCTTTGTATGGCCTCTTCCAAAGGTAGGATTTGACTAGAAGTGAACTCTATCTCTGAATTAGGGCTTTTCATGGATTTAATAACCCTTCAGGTTACAGGGGGCCTGGAGTTCTGCCATTTCTGTAGGAAATTTGAACATTATATTAATTCATAGTCTACAGCTGCCAACATGATGGTGGTGGTGGCGGCAGGTCTATGTGTGTGTGAGAATGAAATTTGTACTAATGTCAAATCAGTTATTTTCCCAGTTGCTGCCAGGAGGTACCCCATGCAGTGCAGTATTTGGAAAAACCTTCGAACTCCAGCTAAATTAATGCCTCACTGGAAAATAATCTCTGGCAAATAATCTCAGGTCCCCCAGATTCATATCCACTGCAGTCAAAAGGTCTTAGACCTCTTAGACAATTAGAAGTTACAGCATATGGTATGTTGGGTGGATCAGCATCAACAATCTCCTCACAGTCATCACCATTGTAATGTTTTCTCATATTAAAAAAGCTTTTACTGTTATTTTGTACCATCTAGTAATCCATAACTCACACTGAAAATAAAGTAAAAAAAATCACCTTGAACATATCAAGGTAAACTATATGTAGACAACTGATATGAAGTGTTGTTATAGCTAATTTGTTATATTTACCATCCATCCATTTTCTAAACCACTAATCCATTGCGGGGCAAGTGGTTGGTAGCAGGTGCACAGACCTGAAGTGTACTACAAGAATGCTGATAAAAAGACTCTCTTTGTGACCCAGTAGTGAAGGTGATGACCTTGTATTGTTACTGTACTCAGCTGGAGCTGAAGTCCCAGCAGTATCCTAGCTGGTATTGTTCTACCCTACAAATCCAGTTTTGCTACTTAGGGCCTGCACCTTAGAGGCTGTGCCTCATGGGCATGACTCCCTCGGCCCTGTCACTGGGGTGTGCACGTGGCCCGGGTCAGTCTGGAGTCTGGTGCAGCCCGACAGTGAGTGTCCTGCCCAGGCCTGGCGCTGACCCCTCAGCCCTGCACTGCACCCTGGAGCAAAGCACAGCTCCGGGCTCGGCTGACTCTCCCTTCCTGCACCTGTTATCCCTGCATAAGCCGCAGTGTTACATACATATTAAGTATTAGAATAAATATTAGAAATAAAGTCTTCAATATTTAAAGTTTATGTTACTGTTATGATTTTGCCATTCTCTATTATTATGAATTTGCTTGTGTACCCAGTACACAATTAAATGTATCACTAAATTCACACACTGTTTGCAAAGCATCATCACCACTGATCAGATGTGCAGATTACCTAAAGCTAATGACTGCATATTGTTCATTTCTTTCAGTCTGAGACAAAGCTCTGACCATATTATACTGGTCCATTAGACCCACTTCCAGCAAGGTATATTCTGAGCAGTGATCCTCATTGGTCCTTAAAGATTAAACTGAATCAATTATTGACTTTATTCTCTTAATTATGTTTCCGGCTTTTGTCATTGAAGAGTTTGAGCTCCTTTCTCAACTTGCGGGGATGTGGTGCTTCAAGAGCAGGTGTATATTAAATGAAAGGTATAGTAAGAAATATTCCAGTGTATGTCACTGGAATTTAGCCCTGCTCTTTCACAGCTCAAGGTCCTGTGTTAGATTCAGGCCTGCAGCACCTTCTGCGTGGAGTTCGTGTGTTCTCCACATGTCCACCTGGGTTTGCGCTGAGTGCTCCAATTTCCTTCCTCCTCCAAAAAGACTTGTTCATGGCCATTTTTACATCAGCATCCCTCTCTAAAGTGTCTCTCTGTGTGTGTTTGCCCTGCAAGTCACTAGCATCTTATCCAGGGTGTGGTCCAGCTTTGTACCTGTGCATCAAAGATAAGTTCTGGGTTGCCATGATCTTTACCTGACACAGGATGATTTTTCATAATGGATGGATAGGTGATTACATTATATGTTGCTTTCTCTGAAAAGCACTAACAACTGCTGACTACAACCTTACTTCACAATCCTAGTTCTATTCCATCGTAGAACTTTGCAGACTTATACACCGAACAAGCAGCACACTCTAGTGACAGAGTCCTCTGTTTGCTTGATGGCACGCCATTGCTTCCAGGCTTTCAGTGGTTCTTCACTTTTTACTTTTTCCACCAGTTTTCATGCCCTGTCCAAGGCCTGCGAGAAAAAGAATAGAGTTTGTACAAGTTCCAGAACCCAACTCGAAACAGACTCTTCTCCCAGGCTTTTTATTCCCATCTGTCAGCGGCAGCAAGTGATTGATTGGCCAGCAAATCAGGAACTGCATTCCTAAAATGTTCCGGGCAATCAAAGCATTTAACTGCAGTCAGACAGTCACCAGCTAGGACTCACATTTAATCAAAACATCAGCCCACCCTGCCACAAACTCTTACAATGTCATCTGATGGTGATCTGTTTGCCAGATCTACCTAGCTGAAAGCCAGATCCGTACATTGACGAAGAGCTAGGAAAGATGTTTTCATACTGGTGTGACTTCCTCAACAAACATGCTGGAATAAAATGTGGTGTTTCCATTTCAGCTAACGGTCGTCTTTAATGTCAGCTGCTAAAAGCCAAAAATTGAATACTGCACATGCTGTATCTAAAAGGAACAAGTCCCAAATACAGGTTAAAATCATTCAGGAAATGTTTGCGTAGTTTGGGCTATGATCATCTTCTAATAATGTCATAATATATTTTTAAAATAAAATTGTAAGCTTTAAAGTTCAGTACATTAAGCCTTAAATCCTTTGAATGTTTTTTTTTGGAGGATGATCTGGAGCTGTTTTAAATATGTGCAATGTTTGAAGCTGCCATGAAATATGGTGTGTGCATTGACTTCTCAGTAATGGGAGGTGTGTGATAAATTGGTCTGGATGAAACACTTGAGGTGCTTTCCGTGGAAGATTGTGCCAGGAAGTGAGTATTTAGTCATGGGATAGGCCAGTCGACTAAACTGCTGAATGTGCAGGTTCATGGTGATACAGATCACAGGGAGACTGTGGACAACATGGCTCTCTGTTTCAGAGATAGACTGGAACACTGAACTGAACAAATAACAGCTTCAGGGGCATTTGCAGGGGGAGCTATTTTCTAAGTTCAACAATGCATTGTGCAGTAGAAAGATTGGGTATGAGAAATAGAAATGTTTTCATATAATTAGTATTCCGTTGTTCAGTTGCTAATTTGGTTGAAAACCCACTTCATATTCAGTAATCTGTTCAGCTGAGACCAAGACTCCCCATATAGCAACACACAATTGGCTCAGTGGCGCTGCCTGTAGGGCTGGGTTAAGATGGCAGGATTATCTTACCTGCCAGTGAAACAGTGACTTCCCAGGCTAAAAACACAGTTGGGTCATTATATAGAAAAAAATAATAAGTGATCTGTAAATCGAAGTGTTAAGTGTTTGTTTTTCTGAATATTCTTTTACAGACTTCCCAGAGGGTGGTAAAAGAATAGGGTTGTCTTCACATGGGAGCTGGATGTCAAAATTGTCTTCAGAAGAGGTAGTGGACATTATTTCCACAAGGAAATTCTCAGTATTACTCCAGATGATCATACAGGATATTTGGTATGACCAAGTTAGAATTTCTAAATGTTGTTTTATCTGTCTCTTTGTTGCAAACTACCAGCACAGAAGAAAACGAGAAACCTAACAAATTCCCACCATCATGTGTGATGTAGTGTAACAAATATTGGTTCGTGATCATTTTCCAGGCAGTATTATGCTATGGAAAGTTGGTTGCTCTTTGCCAGAAATGTCCTGTTTTACGGAAATTCAAAATATTTGATGACAGAGCCTAGATTTGAACCAGCAATCTCTATATTGTGAATGCGTGAGTCCCCACTGACTGGAGGGTTTTGCAGCATAAAATCCAGTTAGAATGTGTTATCAGGAGCCAGGGTTCTTGCAATAGGCATGGTGCTTAAAAATGCATAGTGCTTAAAAATCACCAACTATGGCAGAAAAACAAGGAAAAATGACCACAGCAAGAATCTCAAAGTATAGAATGGACAGAAGTGGAAAACAGATAACAAAAAGAGAAATCCCTTCAGACAGGCTGTCCCGAACATGCTTAATCTAACACTGCGTTGTGAGGGTGGCTGTCCAGTCCTCTGCTGCAGGGGGCAGAGCGGTGGTTCTGTGGCTAAGGATCTGGGCCTGTGGCTGGAAGGTTGCTGGTCCAAATCTTACAGCAGGCAGAGGAATCCTACTTCGTTGGGCCCCTGAGCAAGGCCCTTAACCCCAACTGCTCCAGGGGCACTGTACAATGGCTGACCCTGTGCTCCCCAGGCCTCTCTCCCTATCTATGTGTCTCACAGAGAGCAAGCTGGGGTATGTGAAAAGATGAATTCCTAATGCAAGAAATTATATAGGACTGTTATGATGTTATGTTATGTTAGATGTGTGAGGAAAATAGTCAATGAGAAACATCGTTGTCAGCATTTTTGTAATGAAATAAAGCCTGACAAAGACACCGCAAATATCTGACAATAATGCATCCAGAATGCAGAAATTGGACTCCATCTTGTTGTAGGTAAGAGAAATGAACTGTCAGGCTGCACTGGCCAGAGTATCTTGTTCTCACAGTGCTGGCAGGAGTGCCACAGCCCTTTCTCATTTTGTAAAACAACTGGGTGGGCAGATAAGCGATCTAGAACAGCAAAAGGATTTAAGCAGAGTATTATTGCATTCTTTGCCTTAATAAGATACTCTCCCCCAGATCAGTTCTACTGACTGATTTTTTTTAATTTACATTTTGGATAGGGAGGTGGATGGTATCCAACAAATGGATTTTAAAGTGCAACTGGAACCAGTGCTTAAAAATGTGATTACTTGCAGTCTTTTAGCAAAATGTCTTTGCCTATGTTAGAATACAGTTCTTTAAAGACAAAAGCTCCGTGACTCCAAAGACACAGTGAGACAAAAGGTATAATGACAATGATTCAGTCTTCTTTTATTTTGCTGTTTCATTAAGCCTACTGACATGAGGGTTCACTTTGTCATTAAACTTAACATAATCCTCTTAAGTAGTTTAAGAAATAAAGTACACAAGCTGTTGTTCTTACATTTCTTTTCACGATAAGCTATTTCAGTTCAGGTCTTGCTTCCTGCATTGAGAGACTTTCTCAGAAATTATGCAAAACTTTCATAATATGTCCTATGCTTGTTTTCCAGAAGGTAAGTATTTAAGGTTTAATTATTTTTTATTAGTGTGGCGGTTCATTTTGGGCCATTGTTATAAACTTAGTGTTACTTCCAGCAACATTGTAGAAGCCAATTATTTGAACTCCAGAAATCCTCTGTGTATAGTTCCTCTCTGACAAATTATTTTAAATTATTGCCTCATAACATTCTCATGGTTTCATGAGTACATGTAGTATAATTATGATTTGACATTAATTATTTTAAATTAAAATGGGACCATATTTGATTTTTTTCCCCAAATCAGTCTCATGAACTGGGATTTTAGATCATTTTAATTTCTGAGACTTACCATAGATAAAAACAGCCATTACATTTTACACTTCAAAGCTCAATTCTTTCTCATACAGTCTGTTTATGATTATTTTATTATTGTATTTTCAGCCTTTTGTATTAGTGGGATTTTGCCTCTATAAGATTTTATGATAATCACATCCATTCTCTGTCTTTAATAGTGCTAAGTGCTTAGTCTCAGTTGGTGTGGCACTGTGTCACATTGTCAGGATGGCTGGTTGCTCATTTCAAAACCCTCCCTCTTGCACACAGCTGCTCTGGATGAGTAATTGGTGGAGACATTCCAATGAGGGAAAGGGCCTGGTGTCACAGGCTTCATGTGTGATTGGTCACTCCTCTGGGCTCATTGAGAGGCAGCTGGGAGGAAAAGGGCATCCGTTTGTGTTTAGACTCCTCCATGAGAGGAGAAAATATGATGAGAGGCTCAGGGAGAGATGATTACTTAAGAAAATACAACTGACGTCTGTACCAAGCTCCTGCACAGGTTGCTGGGTAGATTGTAAGGCTTGGTGTGTTAGGGGTGCACTGCAAAGGATAGGAGTGGGCCAGCTGAACCAGAGCTGGAGCATCACTGAAGAAAGGACAGACCACTTACATGCAAAAAGCAAATGTGATGTTCTGGCACTGTTGCAATAAGTGTGTGCCAGTGCTGTCTTACCCATTGTGAGCTGGGGAGAAAAAATAGGAAATAACTTTAAGAATGATGTGGTTAAGGGCAATCTGGAGTGTTTCTGCCATACATCTCTTGGGCCCCTGAGCCTGATTCTGGACTGTGGTGTCTTCTGTATTTTTTGCACATGTCTGCATCCAAGTCTTAATCCAGGTGGACCAGATTCCTTACACCTTCTGCAACAGCTAGGCTAATTGGTTCCTCAGAACTGATCTTGTGTGTGCCTTGTGATGGGCTGACATCTAATCCAGTGTTTGCTCCTGCCTTGTGCTCTATGCTGCCAGGACATACAGTATACTGTATATACTAGGAGCTGGGTTTATGTGACCTAATAGAAATACTTTCAAATCATGGTGTATGGATTGTGACTTGTGGTGAAGATGGATTCCAAATTCATGGCTTTTCTCTACTATGTTCCGAAGCGTGCCATTTCCATCATGGTAACATCCACAGTGCCTGTAGTGCACAAAGCGAACGGCTGAAGCTCTCGCTATCAGTCAGCCTGAGCCCGTCAGGCACCCCTTCTTCCGGAATCCCAGACTCCACTTTTCTCCTCCAGACTTGGTGCACTAATAGATGGAAAATGGGATACCAGTTTGCCCTCTCAATAAACGTCTTTACTGTTTGAACCAACAATTCATTATTAATAATAAGAGAATTTATTCAATATATTCTTTGAAGCTTTCAAACATGCAGGCTGCTATACTTCCATCTATTTTCTAACAGTTCCGGGGGCTCACAGACACAAGCACACTCCCGCCAGGGCCACTCTTCCCAGAAGCCAATCAACCCACTGCTAGGCAGTCTATGGGCGGCAGGAGGAAACCAAATCACTGAGAAAAAACCCACATGAACACAGGGAGATCATAAACTCACACAAATAGCACCCCAGGTCCAGAATTGAACCCAGGGCCCCCATCCTGCAAGGCAGCAATGATAACCACTGAACCACAGTGCCAGCTTGTAAAATCACTTGCTCAATAACTTTCAGAAACTACCTTGTCATTCTTTTTCACAATGAATTCATTTAGGCTTTTTTTCCATTGATCAGCACAAAACACTTTATAAAGTTAAATTGATCTTCCTAAATTAATTATAAATAATAAAACAGAAAATACTGGAAGTGATTGCATACCTGTGCATCCCATTTTACAATGACACACCTAAACAGGCTCTGTTGCAACCAAATGCATTTAGATGTCACATCATTTGCTGAATGATCCACCTGTGTGCAATCAGGGTGTTTCACACTAGTTCGGGATAAATGTACCTATCTCCTGCAATCTATTAGTACAACTCCCAACTAAAACTGCATCAAAAACTAAAGAAGACAAACTTTCAAAGTAAATCTGGGGTTATTGAAAAGCACAAATCAGGGGAAGGGTATAAGATAATTTTCAAGGCATTACAAATCCCCCAAAGCACAGTACAGTCCATTATATAATAATAATAAACTTTATTTTATATAGTGCCTTTAAAGGTGGCTTCTCAAAGCGCTATACAGGATGACAACAACGATAAATAAGAAGAATACACAAGATAAAACACAATTACAATATACAGAGGAGACAGTGGATGGTGGTACTAAGAAAAGCAGAGGGGTGAAGAATGGAACCAGTTAACTAAAGGCTTTTCTAAAGAAGAGGGTTTTGAGTCTGGATATAGAAATGTAGAAAATAATGGCATGCCTCTGAAACTGTGAAGAACAGGGGCCTCAAAAACTGAGTATCCAGGTGAGAAGAGCACAAGCACTAGTCAGGGAGGCCACAGTCTTCCATGGCTGTGGTGGAAGAAACCATGCATTGTCCGGGAGCTTCGCAAATCTGGGCTTCATGGGAGAGTGCCAAAACCTCACATAAAATCTCTACTATACTGTACTTTGTCAGGAGACATATGGGAGACTCTGAGACCAAGTTGAAGACGATTACATGGTCTGATGAGATCTAAATTGACCTTTTTGGCCTCAGTGGTAAGCATTATGTTTGGCGCAAGCGTAACAGTGAACGTCCTAAGAGATGACATCCCTACTGTGAAGCATGGTGGTGGCTGTAGCATGCTATGGGGAATCTTTGCTGCATCAGAGCCCGGAAGATTTTTGAAGATAAAAAGAAAATGGATACGGTAAATTAAAGAGAAATCCTGGAGGAAAACCTGCTGCAGTCTGCAAGCGACATGGGACTTCGGAGAAGAATGACCCGAAACATGCAGCCAAAGCTACACTGGAGTGTCAGTGTTCAAAATGTCAATGTTCTGGAGTGGCCCAGTCAAAGGCCAAACCTTAACCTTAAGAATCTGTGGCAGGAGTTGAAAATTGCTGTTCACCATTGCATTTTCATCCAACCTGAAGTGGTTTGAACTACTTTTGCAAAGAAGAAGCAGAAATGACAGTGTCCAAATATGCAAAGCAAGTAGAAAGTCATCCAATTCAATTCAACTTTATTTGTCATTATACTTACATGGGTGCATTGTATAGTGAAAAGTGTTTCTCATTAGTCACTCAGGTGCAATATATGAATAGAACAGAAGACAAGACAATAGACAGTAACACAATAACAATAACAGTGTAATAACATAACAGTGTAATCAAAACTGTGCAGATACGCAAACAGAGAAAAGAACACGACAAAAACAGTGCAAAAGTAATTCGGGGAACAGGGCAAAAATAATACGGTGATTAATAAATATTACAACTAGTACAGTTTTAAGTACAATTTCGGCTTACATTCAGTTGTCGTGTATGTACAGTAGTGGTTTTGGAGTACAGTCATTGTGGGTACAGGAAGAAGTTAGGAGAGATCATAGTATGATAGGAGGGAGTGGGGGAGTCACCAGTTTGAAGGCTCTGGGGAAGAAGCTATTTTGGAGTCTAGTTGTGTGTGACTGGAGCGTCTGGATCCTTCTGCCAGATGCGGTGCAGCTGCCATACCAGACTGTGATGCAGCTGGTCAGTATGCTCTCCACTGTACATCTGTAGAAGTTGGTGAGGATCTGTGGAGGCAGGCGTATTTTCTTCAGCCTTCTCAGGAAGTACAGCTGTTGTGCCTTCTTGATGAGACTGGAGGTGTTGAGTGCCCATGTGAGGTCCTTCTTGGTTCGGCACCAGTCTGCAAGTTGTTTTATCTCCTCCCTGTAGGCAGTCTCATTGTTGTCAGTGATCAGGCCTAACTCCCAGTTAAATAGATTATGATTCCAAATTAAAACCCAATAAAATGTAAAAACATCCAAAGGGGTGAATACTTTTGATAGCCACTGTACATACTGTACTTAATGTTACAAAACTGTCACAAATATAGTACATAGAGACAGATTCTCTCAAATGTAAGAACCAGGCAATCTGTTTCTCCTTAAGTGCCTGCAGTAAAATATCCATATATAACCAAATTAAATACACATCAGTTTTGTTTGTGATGTGAGTGTTTCACTGTTTGAGCTTCCTTTCCCCCAGTGTGATATAGAGAACAATGATTGGCCTGTGTAGCAGGTTCAGTCAGAACTTCTAATTCCAAAACCTCTGACACCTAAAGAGTGGTTCCCTGTTGAGGTGAGTTTAACTGCACAGCATGTTCATTAACAACAGGGGAATTTACATGAAAATATTTAGATGGTCGAGTGCATTACTAGGAACTTCAATTCAATTCTGTATAGTTTTGGTAAAAAAATATTAGTACTGAAATCAAACCTACAAAGAGCATCCAAGTAAATTCATAGGCTTGAGAGAATGTCCTACACTGACCTGTTTAAAGAAATTACTCTTTTTAGTCTTGAACTAAAAAGACAAGGAACCTAATCCAAGTAATTTAGCTCCTCCAAAAATATTGATAATGTCAACTCGAGAGACGTCATGTAAATCAGCAGTGAAGCATAAATCAGAGGTGACAGATTGAAAGTAAGTGGAAGAGCATTTAAGACTGATAACAGGAAGCACTTCTTTGCAGTATGGCTTATGTTCATGTGCGATGGTTCAGTGTGACAACACTGCAAGTTCACCGTCAATCAGCTAGTCTCTGCAATTGTCATGGAAGTGTCACGGACAGTTCTTTTCGGGCCCTATGCAGACGACGCAATCCGGATTTGTGAGGAAACACTGGGGAAAAAGTCATGCAGGAGAGGGTATGGAGACAGTGGGCGTGTCCAAGGAGTGCAGGTGTCCAGGGGAAGTGAGTCCGGGGAGAACAATCCATATAGCAAATCCAAACGGGTAATCAAAAACAGAGGCAAAACTCCATGGCCAGGCGATCCATCCAGGGAGAATAAGGAAAAGGAACCGGGTCGGAACTGGCAGGGGGAATCAGATACAGAAAGTTAAAATCATAACGGAGCCGACGCTGCAGGACCCGGGCTCTCACGAAACGGGATTCAACGAGGAACCTCGAGTAACGTCTATGTCTGGCTTTTAAGGTGGAACTAAAGGGGGGCTGGAATAAGGAACAGGTGTGGGGAATGAGGTAGAACAAGGAAGGGCTGGAGCACCCTTAAGAGGAGGAGTAGCGATCGTGACAGTAAGAGAAATTGAGGAAACCCCGAGCAACTGAATTACACCTTAGTCCTGACGACCGTGAGTAACTGGCCCATTTCAGAGTCAGAAACCCTACTGGACTTGCATCCAGGTTTTGAAACTGGGCTTGAGGTAAGAATAACCTGTTAACCCAGTCACTCAGCTCAGCTCCAGTAAGATGCTGGATTGATTGTTTGATTGTGACAATTCAGGAGGCTGGAACAAGGAGCAGGTGCACAAAATCAACTCAGAAGTGAAAGAGCCAGAGTGCCCTCAAGGGGGAGGGACTACAATCGTAACAAATTCAGACCTTCATGTACAGCATGTTACTTTTCCACATAGTCAGAACATTGTTCAAACTATTTAGCACAAATCAAAAAAATAAATGCTAAAGCTTTCAGAATGTAATACAAAATGACTGAAAAAAATGGTATGCTTGAGTCCACTGCATAGTTCAAACAAAACAATTCAGTCAAGGTGTTGAAATATATCAGTACATCTGTTAAATTCATAAAAAGAGAGAAGGCAAAGCTCTGAATCCAGTGTATCCCTGACTGATTCCTGTGGCAGAGAGAAAACAATGGCTGCTCGCAGAATTGATGGCAGTCAGACTCCTGCTGTAGTTAGAAAAGCCACACAAAACTGCTACAATTAGTATCTAGGTTATTAAATAAGACAATTATAATTGAAAAGCTTTTTATTAACTGTTACATTCACAGCAAACAATGGCAAAAACTCCCAGTTAAATAGATTATGATTATTCAGCAAGTTTATAGGTGAATAAGACCCAAGACTGGACGTTGAGGTGAATGAGCCCTGTGAAAAGCAGAGATTATCACTTGAAGTCAGGACATCCACAGATATCCTGGCAGGCTGATTTGAGAAATGTGCATGTTGTTCACAGCCACAGCCTCCTTTGGCCTGCCCTATGAAATCATGTGCAGTAGGTATTTGTGGCTGAAGGCTGCCATCCAGGAATCACATCCCAGAACAAGATAAGAACGCTGTATGTAATTAAAAAAAGAGCAGTATTTTTTTTAGTTGAATTTTTCCAAAATTACAAACCAGAGTTCATTGGCACCCACTTGTACTTCAGAGTTAAATTAGCCACAAGGCATGCTGACAGTTTTACAAAAATGAGCAAAATAAGGATTCAGTGTTGTCATTTTTAAAGTAACTGTGGTGATCGCTTGCTTGGCAAACATGTCACTTTTCCCAGTACTGGTTTGAGGGTGAAGCCAAATGACAGACATTGTTGATCTCAAAGTCTGGGAAACTGGAGCAGAGCAACTGGCCATGCTGAGCAAAACTGCCTGTCCCTCCAGGATAAACCTTTTCTTCCTGTGTGTAACAGAAATGGAGGGAAAGACAATGTATCTGTCATCAGTGAGCTGTTGCTTCACAAGAATTTGGCACATATCTTAAAGCATTTTCCGTCATACTAACGTAAAAGGTTTCATTCACCCTTGTGGGTAAACATCCTACTCCATAGAAAAAGAATTACACATGCACTTTTCATGCAGTTGTTCACAGGGAGAGCTGGACAGACTTTGAAAGATTTTCTGCTCCAGAATGAAATAAAGCAAAAATAAAAACCTCTTATCCTATATAAAATAAAAGATCCAAATAGAAGATCCTTATCTTATATTTCCTTTATTTTTTAACAGGACAAAAGAGGAAATGTACTGAATCACCCTGTGTACTGCACCTAAGTTTAATTTCAAGTTTTAAACACCAAAAACTCTAAAATTAATTATAGCAAAGATTTAATGTTTATGAAGTCTTCAGTCAACATTCTGAAAGGTAAACTTTTCTCATGTTTTGAGTGATATAGATAACAGATCTAAATATTTTTAAGGTGAACCTTTATACAGTATAGAGGTACAATTGGTCCTGTCCATTTCAGTAGCACATCTCTGACCTGATAGCTATGGAAATTGCCCGCAGTGCAGAGCTACTGTCTAATCACATGCCATTGTAGTTTGACTCCTTCACTGGTGTTTTCAGTGGAAGCTTTGGGATGCTAAAAAACCAAACTGGCTGAAAACCAAAGCAGTCAGTCTGAGACTACTGCAATTTAGGGTCTCTCAAACCAGGCAAAAATGTTCACACATATCCTGCTTTCATTTGAAAATGTAAAGTTTACTTTGTGTTTAGTTACTTAATGACTATTTATTGTTAGACTCTATTATTGTTAGACTGTTGATAGTACATATTAATGACACTACCTTTTGAGATTAAATATTACCCTGGTTCAATCAATAAAGGATTTTGCTGGAGCAGACGTTGAGCACTAAGATCTGGACATCGTAAGTGTGATCCAGAGCCGTGGTGTTATCTCACAGTGATCAGAGTGACCAGGATTCCTGTCGGTCAGGGAGTCATGGTCTTACCATGCACTAGTGGGCCTAGAGCCGTACCAGAGCACTTAAGGCTGGACTTCTTATTATTGCAGTAATATCAGTGAGAGCTTCTCTTGCAGGGCTGACTCTCCTCTAACTTCACACTGAGTGTGCTCTCATGGAGGCTCAAGAGATGTACCCTGTAAGACGATTGGACTGGCAACTCCAAATTGGGTGGGTAAAACATGCAAAAGTAAAAATATAGGTAAAGGTTTTGAAATCAATATTTTGCCTTCTTTTACTTAAAAATACTTGATGCCCATTGTACTGTATGATGGTATAGAACCCATTGTGCTGGCTGTTATGGCATGTTGCCACTTTTTAGGGTGTCTGAAAGAGTGGGCTTCACCGAGCAGAAGCAGGGCAATATTGAAAAACAGAGCCCACTGTTGAGGTGACATACTATAGGGCTGGTTTAACATAGCTATAGTTCTGCACTATTTATTCACTAACCCTATAAAACAAGAAAGCACATTGCCACATTCTGTACACTGTATACATCTAAATTCTGAGACAATGTCCAGAGAATGGGCTTGAAGCCTTTCATTTCTTATTTTTACAGGCTTTTGTTTTCTTTGCAGGAGACACGTAGGGAATGATGCACTGACTTGGGATGGCTGAAAGCCCTCATTTTAAAGGCATAAAAGAATCTGGGTGTGTGGTTCTGTTGTAAAGCAAACTGCTGAAATCGCCGCCGTCTCCTTGCATTCTGCCAAGCCACGAACATTTTATACGATGGAAAATGCGCTAAGTTTATGGTGCAATGGTAGGATTCTTTTTTAATATGATTCTTATTTTAAATGGGGAGTACACAGTGCTCTTTGTCTAACCAACACGGGCAGCAATTATTTTTGTAAAATACAAGCAACCCAATTGGTACCCAATACTTGGTCAGTCAAGGGTCACATACTCACGTAACAGTTCCACGCCCGTTAGCAGGTCCGTCGTAGGTAGGAGAGTTCTGAACCCTTCTCAAAGGATTCACGGCAGACGCCACATTCAAAGACCGAGACAAACAGCACTTAGAAGCTGGCATGCTCTGTGTTGACATTTCATGAGACCTCTGCCTCTTATTATAGTCAATACTCAGCTCAACCTCATTCTTTGTTATTCATTCCTGAATATGTTAGAAGCCCATGGATCTAAAACGTTGTGCAGAACTCTTGGTTATTTCAATTAAATTTAATCTTTAAGGGTTTAACTTGTAACTCTTGTAATATAGTTTTGTTTTTTATTAAACACAATGGAAACCAACAATATGAACAGCAATGTAACAATATATACAGTATTTGTCATGCTGAAGTTTAATATTTAGTGTTTCCATCCTTGGCTTTTTTGTGGGAACATTTGCTTCTCTATGTTTGCTCATGTTTCCAGTGTATGACTGGAAATTCTACAAGTTTACGCCTGTGGGATGCCTGTTATTTTTCTGTCTTTCTGGCTAATCCCATATGGCCTCGATTGAATGCATGGATTGGGTTGTGATCTCACTGGAAAATTTCTGATTAACTTCATAAAACTGAAAGTAACCCAAGCATCTATCACGGTGCTGTATTGTCACACTGTGTCCTTGCACTGAGTGGAACATGTTTCCTGGAGGCAGAGACTTCAAGCTCCTTTTGACTGAATTAGTCCATTTGCACCATCTGTAAATATGATTTAGTATCCATTAAAGTCTGTAAAAAAGACTCCTAGACTCCTGCTTGGGAGAGCTCTACTAGGTTAGGTCAGTGCTCTGTTGCATTGCAGATGTTCACAGGAGGCAGCAGCAGGGTTGTTCAGGTTCAAATCCAAGACTGAGGGAGCCTGAAGGTCGGAGGGATAGGAGCTTTTCAGAGACATCTGAGGGCACGGTGAGAATGCAGGTGACTGATGTGCAGACTGGCGCAGCTGTAGAAGTCACAGCATGCTGATGCGGACGACACTGAGCAAACAGGTTGAGACAGGTTCTGGAGTCCGCGGTCATGAAAGGGTGTGCTAGCACGTCCAGTGCTGAGGACTGCCGCTGGTAGCTCTGTGAGGGAGTGCTTACTCAGTGGTGATTTGGGTTTGTACAGGGAGTTCGTGAAAATTGATAAATTGATTATGGGTGCCTGATTGGTAGGGGAGCCAAAAAGAGACCCAACCACCTCCCGAGAGCTCCTGGACGACTGTGAATGCTCAACATAAACTGCCGTCAGCCCAGGTGTAACAAGATCAGCATGAACTACAAACCCATGACAAACTGCATCTTCTTGTTTCCCTGAGACTTTGCTGATTTGAACAGTGGAAATGGACCATCAATTCAGTCCTAGCTCAGACTTGAGATGACATTATGAATTATTTAGTCCTCCTGGGTTAATGCACAATTAGGATCGAAAAGGAGGAAAACTGACTATTAGAACAAAGACCTTTCAAAGTTAGGTTAGAAGTTAAAAGCAGCAAAAATGCAATGGATTTTGGGAATGAACATTAATTGCCCCTTTTTCTGATCAGAAGTCTGTGGAAGACTGGAGACGGTTCTTTCCAGACACTTCCTTCTGTTGTGATTGGACAGAGAACTCATGAATATTCCTACACAGAGTTCATATGTATGTATTTATCCACCCACATGTCCATTCATCCAGGAGACTGAGAGAAAGAGCACACTAACGAGACATGAAAACCTGGTACGGTGTCCTTAGTTCTCCCAGCTGATTTAATAACACTGCTTTGTCCAAGGTACTGTATGAAGACAGCTGCAGAAAGATTGGATGTTTCTTGTGGTCTTTTTCATAGTATGACTTTCATACATCCATACATTTTCTAACTGTTTCACCAGATTCAGGGTCATGGGGGAGCCGGAGTATATCCCAGCAGGCAATGGGTGCAAGGTGGGATACACCCAGGACACCAGCCCATCACAGGACACACAGACAGTCACACCAGGACCAATTTTTTCAGAAGCCAATTAACCTACCAGTATGTTTTTGGACTGTGGGTGGAAACAGAAGCAACTGGGAGAAACCTGCACAAACCCAGAGAGCACATACAAACTCCACACAGACAGCACCCAAGGTACAGAATTGAACCCAGGGCCCCAGCGCTAAAAGGTAGCAATGCTGACCCCCGCACCACCCTGCCGCTCCTGGATGTTTCATTAGAATTAAATTTGAACACACTGCTGCAGGTGTAATTTTCACACAATTAAAATAAATCAATTTATTTTCACTGACCTTCCCTTTCTCTGACCTATTTTTTGTCAGAATCAGTTAAACAGTAGAAAAATATTGCAGTCATTTTCTGGAAGATATATAGTCAGTAAAATTACGTGCAGATTAGTAATGTTTATTGAGGGCTGTCAAAGACAGCAGTTTGGTTCTAAGCATGTACAGTTATTAAATTTAGTAATTTTCCATTTTGGCATATAGTTTTCTTTTTCTGAAATGTACAGTATTTACTGATTTCAGCAAGTTGGATACTTCTCAAGAGTTACAGAAAATCTACTTAACATGGGAGCTAAACTAGAGAAAGGCCATTTTCAGATATACTGAATCTGGTATTTTCCAGCTCATAGACTGGAACCTGTGGTCCATGACTGTTTCAGGCTTTGAGTGAAAAATGGTACAGTATGCTTTCTATCATGCATCACCAAAACTGCTAGAGAATGAAGACAGTTAGTGGTGTTGATAACTGAAATGGGTTGCATCTAGCTTTGGGCTGTCAGTGCACTTTGAGAGATCTGGGATCTTTTGCATTATGAGCTGACGTACTCTATGTACTGCACTGTTTACAGTATGTGCTCCAAGCAGAACCACAGTGACCTTTATTGTCGACCCTGTCTTGTTCACTGTCCAAGTGGCGCTGTTTTAATAAGAGTGTGCTGTATGGTACAGAGAAGTCTGAAATGATGTCTTGTCACTGTTTCTACGGCAAAAATGCCTGCTCCTTAAATGTTTAATAAAGTAGGTCAATTTTTTATTTAAGCTCTCAAATGCTAGGCTAGCACTTCCAATTTCTTGACACACAGAAAGCACCATTAGCCCTGTCCATGAGGTTATCCAGTAAGTTGATAGCTACATTAGTCATATCTGAAAATCTAATTGAGCTCTCATATGGTTTAATCTGTTTTTAATATCTTGTAGTTTTCCCTTTCACATTAGTCTGCAGAACAGAAACGTAGGGCAGTATTCCCAGAAAAGGGCTATGCCAAATCCAGTTGCAATATTTTGAATGTGCTCCTGATTTCATTCAATAATGTATAGTATAACATCTTTCAGTAGAGCACTTTTTACTCTGGTCAATGCTATCATATCAGAGGCAATGAGTGGTGGAGTGTCTAGCCAGCAGTAATGATAGCATAGTTACTTGGAGCAAATCCTGCAGAAAGGTATGACTTAAGACACAAGACCTTTTTATTGTAAACCAAACTGGTTTCATGTTTTATTTAATCTGCTACCATATCTGCTATTCATAGGGAAAAACAACTTTCTTTTACTGTTGTGGTAAAGAACATGAAAACAGTGACATCAGCAGCAGCAGAAAGAGAAGACAATTTTCACACGACGATCTCTCCTCCCCAACAACACAGCTCAACTGAGCAGAAGATCTGCCCCACTGATGCGATGGCCAATGCAGTAAAAGTGGGTAACGAATGGAACAAACCTTAAAATAAATAAATATTTGTAAGGAGAAACATAGGCTGCCTGGTTTGTCTGAGAATAAATAAAAATAGAGCAACACAAACAAAAAATAAACATAAAAGCCACATAAAACCAAACTGCCACAAACCACCTCTTTTTCGCACAGATAGATGAAAAACAAGCATACAAGGTAAGCAATATTTATTATTTATCAGTCCTACGGTATCTGCATCCCAGCAGAGTGAATTTTCCATGTTTTTCACAGTGTTTAATTTGAGTCTTTAGTTTCATTCCTAAACTGAATCCCTTAGATTGACACCTGGTTTAAAGCCACAAAAAAATACATGCTGTATTTGTTATCTCTCAAGCGTTACATTGAATCCGACAGATTTAAGGTCTTTGCTGGAATCCTGCTGTTTGTTGGTTTGCTGTTCTGATTAATGGCACGACTCGGTGAAATTATACGTCTAAGGGTGGACTGAATTTATATTGCTGATTTATGAGCTATATTTGATTTCCTCCTCTGTTTTTTTCAAAGGCATCTGGTGGAGGTCTGTACTTGGACAGCATGATTAAAAAATAATGGCTCTTAAGTTGTTAGTGGGTCTAAAAGTTCCAAAAAAATATTTTGTTAAAAAAATGAATCAATAAAATGTTGGTAGTGTCACGTAAGTTAAAGTTTTTGTTTACAACAATGAATCCAGAAATATTCTAATTAAAAGAAAATCCCAGTTTGAGAGTTGAGGTTTGGCTGAACTCTGATACAATTTCAATGTAGAGAAAAAGAAAGCAGATGGAATCTTTTCCTTAACTAAATCATTGCTGAATTGTCAGAGAAATATCACAGAAGTCAGAGATTATTCATATGTAAGAGGACAAAACTTTAGAAAGGTAATATTTTAGGCTGGGCTTAAATAGTGGTTCATTCATTACATACATTCTTTGTGTACAGACCCCCAGGACCATATGCATTGTTTCTTGCCAAATTTGGTGAACTGCTCTCTGATTTAGTTAATTAATTTAGACAAAGTTGTAATATTAGGCAGCTGTAACATACATATGGACACACAGACAGACACCTTCTTGCCTCTTCTTGACTCTGTAGGTTGTAGTCAGCATATAACTGGACCAACACACGTATACAATCATACGCTAGACTTAATCATCACTCATAGAGCTGATATTCTTCAAGTACTAGTCCATCCCATCAATAACTCTTTTTCTGACCACTCTTTAATTACTTTTGAAATTCAACTGCCCTTGATAGCTGCCAAGGAGAAGACTATTACAACAGGACACATCAACGTACTTAATTAAATTTCATGAACACGATGAACAATGCTAACTTCATCTCCAGTAATAATGTTCACAAAATCACACATAACTATTATACAGGGCTCAGACAGGCCCTTGATGAAATTGCCCCGTTAAAGACGAAAGTAATCAAAACCACTAGACACTTTCCATGGTATTATGATCACACATGATCCCTTAAACAGGAGTGCCGCAAACTAGAGCACTAAAGAATACTAAAGTATTCAAGCTGGCATGGACTGATAGCCTGCAACAATATAAGAAAGCCCTATACAGAGCTTGTTCGGTTTACTAC